CACCCCCCGGACCCCGGATCTGTGTTCGCCCAAATCGCGGATACGGAAACCGCCATTTTGGACCCCAGTAACCACTAAAACAGTAATATGGCGGATTGGCGCCGTTCTAATTTTGTATTTTTTCTGCTATTAATCCTAAGCCTATCTGCCATCTCTCTTTCCTCATTTTGGGCTCCTTCACCCGGGAATAAATTGTTTTTGTTTCAAGTATTTTACTTTGACAGAAATCAGCTGTTTGTCAATTTGGCCGGTTTCTTCCGAGACAGCCCGTTTCTCCTCAGCACTGCTCGTTCCTGCCTGGATCCAGCAACCGGGGACCCACTGTGGTCGCCCACAGGAGACCCCGGGAAGGCAGCCAGGCGTGGGTCCCGGTCTCTGACCTGAGAGACATAGTTTTCAAAGGACAGACAAGGACACTGCCCCACTATTGCAACCCAGAAATCCTCCTTGGACTCTTTTTGCCCTCTCCTATTGACTTTCTACTCCACGTCCTGGACTGTTTCCTGCCATATCTTTGGACCCGAACTTTCAGACCAGGCTTGCCCTGAAGAGCAAGCAGCCTCCGTTTCCGCGTGCCATCATCAAGAGACTATGAATTTCTTCAATTAATAATAAACTTTGCTGGGGATGGGGATGGGTTTGCTATGAAATATATGAAATGTGTGTAAGGAGATATTATATGAAATGTGATATGTTCCCCACCCTGCCTTTCCTGCCGACCTTTGCCCCACAAAAGATGTGGCCTGAAGATTACTGTCTTGCCTTGGGGAGGAAGCTCCTTTGTTCTCCCCAAGACCCTTCCTGATTATTTCATTTGCATGGACCATACTGTTTCCCCCAACCCTGGCCCTCGGAGCAGACCAGCGAAGGGAGGGGGTCTACAGGAACTCGGAAACAAAGATTGATTTAATCAGCCAGGTATTGTTGATCCCCCTTTGAGGTCCGATACCGAAAAAAAGCCTTTTCATATTTCCTCCCAAATCCCATCAACAGACCAGGAAACTCATTGTTCCCCTATCTGACACCCCGCCAAGTGAGGACAAAGCCTCACATTCCAGCTGGCGGATGCCCTTAAGGCTGTCATTTCCTCAGTCTTTGTCAGGCTTCGTCCCGCCTCCTAGCTGCCGATTGGTCCATCTTCGAGGCGCTAGGAAGGCACTGATTGGCCTCCCAGAGGCAGCGGAGCCCGCTGATTGGTCCAGAGGCGAGGCATGCTGCCAAGCCTCCTCCCAGCTGTTCCGCGGCCAGCCAATCAGCACGAAGCCGGCTGACAGAGGGCGGGCGGGAGTTTTGAAACTGTTTCCCTTTGTCTGTGTACTATAAAAATGCTTGGAAATTCTGTAAAATTATGCTTGCAGCGGAATGATTCCTGAAATGCATCTGATCTCAGCTGAATCACAAATAAACTTCGGTTGCTGAAAACTTCTTCCACTTTGATGAGGCATTCATTGTAATATTTTGGGATTGGCTTCGCTGGCCTCACCAAAGGTTCAAGGGCCCTTTTGAGCGGTCCTCGGGGGACTCCTTCGCTGGGAAACCCCCTCCAAAAGAGCTCAATATCAATGGTCACTCATTGGGTTGTTAGGCACTGGAACGGAATACGGATTATGAGACTGGCTATGATTCTATGGTATGACGATGCGGATTAGTTAGTGTAATTTAGATTAATGGGTAATGGTTATGTTGATGTATTGTATGCTTTTGTAAACTGTTTTTATATGTTGTACACCGCCGCGAGTCGCCCCAGGGCTGAGAGCGGCAGTCAACAAATGCAGGAAATAAATAAATAAATAAATAAAATAATAAATAGGCGTATGCTGTCCGAATTTGGTGTCAATTCCCCCAGTGGTTTCTGAGTTGTGTTAATCCCACGAACAAACATTACATTTATATATATATATATATATATATATATATATATATATATATAGCCTCCTTGTGGTTGCATCTGAGCACTGCATATATACATCCCTAAAGACTAGTAGCTAATCCTTGTTATCTGTATACTTCTCACTGGGGTTGTGAATGTTCCGACTTCACAGTCATTGAGAAAGAGGGAACTTGGAAGCTACTCTGCTGGAAAACTCCTTGGACCCAAGACAACAGAGACCGTAATGTATATTTTCTTTACCCCTTTTGAAACATCAAGTTTAATGCCTAAGAAAGATAACTCTTTGTGAACAACAATAAAGCCTATTTCGAGTTATCTATAGTGTTTTGTTGGTCCTTGAGAGTTCCAATTCCCTAAAGGAAGGCAAGAAGCAATCCCCTGGGGAAAAGTTGCCACATCCTTGTGTTTTTCACCATAGACCCCCAGGCCTCGACGGCACACTTGGTCTCCAATTGTTGATCGACACAGAGCTATTTTCTGAATTGTGTCAAATGACTAACTCATTGATGTAAAATAACGGTATGGTTATTGTATCAAAACAAAACCGAGGATACAGTTGTAATGTATTTAAAAACACACGAAGTTTAAACACTTGGCATGATACTAAATGTCCTTTGACCAGTATCTGGCCACTTGGAGTGCCTCTGGTGTTGCTGTAAGAAGGTCCTCCCTTGTGCATGTGGCAAGGCTCAGGTTGCATTGCAGCAGGTGGTCAGTGGTTTGCTCTTCTCCACACTCACATGTCGTGGATTCCACTTTGTGGCCTCATTTCTTAAGGTTGGCTCTGCATCTCGTGGTGCCAGAGCGCAGTCTGTTCAGCACCTTCCAAGTTGCCCAGTCTTCCGTGTGCCCAAGAGGGAGTCTCTCATTTGGTATCAGCCATGGCTTGAGGTTCTGGGTTTTAACCTGCCACTTTTGGACTCTTGCTTGCTGAGGTGTTCCTGTGAGTATCTCTGTAGATCTTAGGAAGCTGTTTCTTGATTTAAGGCATTGGCGTGCTGACTGAAATTCGAACAGGGGATGGGCTAGAGATGTCATTGCCTTGGTCCTTTCATTACAGGCTGCTACTTCCCAACAAATGTGAGGTGATGCAATACCGGCTAAACAGTATATTTTCTCCAGTGGTGTGGGGCATAGGCATCCTGTGTTAATGCGGCATGTCTCATTAAGAGCCACATCCACTGTTTTAACATGGTGAGATGTGTTCCACACTGGGCATGCATACCCAGCAGCAGAGTAGCAAAACGCAAGGGCAGATGTCTTCACTGTGTCTGGTTGTGATGCCCAGGTTGTGCCAGTCAGCTTTCGTATGATATTGTTTCTAGTGCCCACTTTTTGCTTAATAGTCAAGCAGTCTTCTTGTAAGTCAGAGCACGGTCCAGGGTAACTCCCAGGTATTTGGGTGTTCTGCAGTACTCCAGTGGAATTCCTTCCCAGAGCTCGAGATGCTTGTCTGTTCTTAAGGTGAAAAGCACACGTCTGCATTTTAGATGGATTAGGAATCAGCTGGTTTTCCCTGTAATACGTAGTAAGAGCACCTAAAGCTTTGGAGAGCTTCTGTTCAACCATTTCACAGCTCCCTGCTTGAGCGGTGATGGCATGATCGTCAGCGTAGATAAACACAGATAATCCTCAGCGCTCAAGATGCTTGTTTGTACTGAAGGTCAAAAGCACACGTCTGCGTTTTAGATGGATTAGGAATCAGCAGGTTTTCCCTGTAATACGCAGTAAGAGCACCTAAAACTTTGGAAAGCTTCTGTTCAACCATTTCAAAGTTCCCTGCTTGAGCAGTGATGGCATGATCGTCAGCATAGATATAGATAATCCTCAGAGCTCGAGATGCTTGTCTGTTCTTAAGGTTAAAAGCACACATCTTTATATTAGATGGATTAGGAATCAACTGGTATTCCCTATAATAGGCAGTAAGAGCACCTAAAGCTTTGGAAAGCTTCTGTTCAACCATTTCAAAGCTCCCTGCTTGAGCGGTGATGGCACGATCATCAGCATAGATAAATACAGATAATCCTCAGAGCTCGAGATGCTTTGTACTGAAGGTCAAAAGCACACGTCTGCATTTTAGATGGATTAGGAATCAGAAGGTTTTCCGTGTAATACACAGTAAGAGCACCTAAAGCTTTGGAAAGCTTCTGTTCAACCATTTCAAAGCTTCCTGCTTGAGCGGTGATGGCACAATCGTCAGTGTAGATAAACATAGATAATCCTCAGAGCTTGAGATGCTTGTCTGTTCTTAAGGTGAAAAGCACATGTCTGTGTTTTAGATGGATTAGGAATCAGCAGGTTTTCCCTGTAAAAAGGCAGCAAGAGCACCTAAAACTTCGGAGAGCGAAATGGTATGGTAATAATACATTAGAAATAAAAAATATATCATTTGGATACTTTTATTACAATAATGGCAGCATATAGTGCTGGCAACTTGCTGCAAAAACGTCCATTCCCGCCTCTTTGACGGAAATGCCAGCCAGATCGGAATTCAGGAGTTTTATTTTTGCAGCTTACAAAGAGCATTATTTGTATCAAAAATCGTAAGAGAAGATAAAACGTTTGTAAACAGTATTAAGTGTAAGCACATTATTTCATAATATAATATGGAATCATTCTATTGGGGGGTCTTAACATCAGAATATAAAGATAATCAACAAAAATATGAGGTTTATTCTAAGGAAGCAAATTCCCTTCTCCAACCAAGAGCCACTGTTCATCTGCGAAAATGGAAACAAGTTCACCCGGGTTGTTGTAGGTTTTTCGGGCTATATGGCCATGTTCTAGAAGCATTCTCTCCTGACATTTCGCCTGCA